GCTAACCCTTAACCTAACCCTAAACCTAACCCTAACCCTAAAGCTAACCCTTAACCTAACCCTAAACCTAACCCTTACGTTAAGTTGAATCGGCTTGCTTTCAAAACGGTATTTAAAACGCCTTTCTTTCTCCGCGCTCGCTGTTGTCGCCCTGTTGATGACGTCAGCGACGCGGTTTAATCGGGCGCGGCTTAGTCGAGCGCAGTTTTGTCGTGCCACGGCCTCCTCTATATATGCTGCCTGCGCTGGGGAATGCTGGAGCCTTCACCGCCGAGCAACTGATTGGTTGGATCAGCCTCTTGAAATACTGCCGACCAGCTGTTCCAGATGGTGGGGATCGCTGCTGCCATTGACCGCTGCTGCCTGTCGCCCATATTTGCTCCATAAGATGCACAGATATTTCCACCAACTTTTGGGAGGAAAAAAAGTGCGTCTTATGGAGCGAAAAATATGACAGGTAAAATGAATGAATCATACCTCTGCCAAACCTGAAACTCAAGATTTCCAGTCCTCTTTATTCTGGTGATGTCACCGCTGTCCCTGACAACCCCCTGATCATTGAAAAAGTTGATTTAAAAAGTGCTGCTATTGGCCAGAGAATAATTGTGCACCCTTGAAATAAACAATAGCACAATAGCATGTGGTGTAATAATTACGATGGGCTAGTCATTATTATACAGATTAACTTCATAGGGTTGTTATAAAATAAGAACTATCCTTGCCTAAATCATATTCAGCTCCTTAAGCAAGCTGAGTTAGACATCTGATAAGTAAAGCAAATGATGTATCAATTTCTGATATAATATAAACATGACTCTTAAAATTGATGGCAATATTAAGATAACCTACATATGAGTATACATAATTCAGTAGATAGAAAGCTTCACCATCTTCTCTGTAAATTTATCAGTAACCAGGAAGAACAACAATATGTATACAACAGCTATTTGGAGAAAACAAAACTTACGTATTATGTCTCTTCTATTCTTATTAGACATTCACATCCCTACAATTGTCTTTTCAGCTGTCACTTCCTCAATTATCTGCTCTTTCAAACCTGGATCTTGAGGTTAAATAAAACAGGCTTATTTATATAATAGTTAATCTCTGTATATCAGTAAGGATATAGACAATGGGTGGAATTTGGAACAAGATGTATTGCTGTTCAGAGCTTAACTAGCAAGAAGGCCAAATCACAATTCCCAAGTCATTTCTTTTTCTGTTTTGTTTTTAGTTTGATAATCAAAATTCCATAATCTACAGGAATCATTGAGTATGTTTAGTTGCTGTAAGCCTTTCAATTTTAAGACTTTTTTATTTTCTACATTTCAAATTTAGCACATCTTGGATTTTATTCAACCGTTGTTGTCAGGCACGCCTCTCTCAGTAACCAAGAAAGAAACCTCTCACTCCAATGTTTGTGGAATTAAAAGTACTTTTGCTGGTTATGAATAGATAGCAGCGAAGTAAAGCAAGGTCTGAGGCAGAAAAGCGCGAAATCATACATATCAAACTTTTGCCCAGCCCCCTGCCTCCAACAACCCCCACCCCTTTGCCCAATCTGCATCTCCCTTAGGTGTCATGTGGGTTGCATCTCCAAGTAGCATCATCAGGTTGGTATGCAGGACGGTTGGCCTTGACCAGGTCCAAACATTGGCCATCACCATGCGTGAGAACAAAACTCCCCGTTTGACAAATCCTCCTGTACTAATTTTTCCCATCCCAAATACCATGCAAGCGAAACAGAGGCTGACAATTGTGATAGTTCCCTCCAGAGGTGGGTTCCTACCAGTTCGCACCTGTTCGGTAGAACCGGTTTGTCAAATCTACCGAACCGGTTAGAAGAGGTTCCACCAGTGGA